ATTGTACAATCAAAGGCATAGTCTTTACCTTTGGTTAGACGCGAAAATTTATAATCACAAAAGCTCATACCGGCAATATTTGAGGGTGACGTGCCGCTCTTGCCATCACTGTCGGGAAGTAGTTTGTCAAGAATCGAAACATCTGAAACAAGCTCTCATATCAAAGCTACTTTGAATGATCAATTATAACAAACCTGATGCCGATGGAGGGGTTTTCATTTTCGAATTGTCCAAAGGAAGTAACTGATCCAGTACTGATGCACCTGGTATTTGAACAAGCCGTAGCATTGGCAAGGAGAATACAATAAAAGACAATAACTACCTTTATCCGACACTGCCGCAGAAGTCGCACGAGCATGAGCATCTCGACTGCCTTCTGCAAAATTCACAAGTAGTTATTATGAAAGTCAAAACTGATCTTCGCAAAGCATCATTCGCAGCAGATTGTGTAACACACCGATCTGATATGGAGATGAAGCTTATATCTTACAACGGCAAACAAGGATCCAACTGCGCGAATAGGGTGGGCAAATTCGTCCCTTCCACTGGTACTACAATTCTAGGATCCCCAACTTTAACCTAACACTGCCTTCGAAAGATGAGCAATCCGTCACTACCTGGACTGCCTCTCAACGGACCAAGACACTAGGTGCTCATCTGAAGGAGAATCACCAAAACTGATAGGTATCCCGCGAACAATATAATATGTGAGCATTTCACCCTCGGAGTCCCTTAGGTGCACGGTTCATAAAGGCACTGGCTCGCGAACTGCGATTTCAAGCTTTCTTTCCCTTGGCCGCTAGGATGCGCTGAGTCCAGGACTATTATGGGCGAACAAAATGAACGACGGCGTTGATTTCAATAACTAGCGTATCCCTGGGTAGGATTTGTATGCTCAAAGGTGTAAAAATACGTGAAGAGGTCAAAAAGGATTGCCTGCCCAGTTGAATCACCCCACCCAGTTTGGCGGCACTTGGCTGATTCAGGCAGCCAATCGCTCCTCAGTGGGATTCTCTCGCCCAGCCCGCTCAGCAATCTCCAAGGCCAGAAATCGCCATTAAATGCATGTTTCGGACATCTTTGAAAGATTTCAAGCACAGTTGTAGACTCAGTGCATCCAGTGCCAAGGAAGAATGGAATGCTCGCAGTCGCAATTTGCGCACGCCCTGTCGCAGGATTGAAATAGATTGTGGCAGCATTGGAAGCCGACATGACCATATTCTGACTGTCTATTCAATGTGAATATGTTGAAAATAGGCATTAGCATTTGCTGTAAACCTCGTCTCATTAGATGATCATCCCGCTCTCTAAGCCATGTGATGATCAGCACTAACACCTATCACCATTCAGATCTATTAGCCGCATTCGAATTTCAGCAACTGCTGACTTGGAAATATGTGCAAGAACCCTCAGAAGCACAACTCATGTAACTTTGAACCGCATAAATGTTCAAGCAGTATAAGTCTCGCGACAGATTATTAGCAATTACTTGCGCAGCTTACAGTACTGACTCCTAAATGCCATTGTCTGCGAGCGAGTACTTTCAAGAACGGTGGGATGACCACCTAGGCATAGTCATAAAATAATTACTAGAAGTTTCAAGACGTCCATGCTGAGATAGCATCTGACGACAAAACATGCTTCAGAACAGATTTAAAAAACCCACCTGACAAGTGCTTCGTTTCCGTCAATGCATTCTTCTTGGCTTCTGGGACACGCTTTTTAGCGGTCACATTTTTAGCTTTGCCCTTAGGAGGCAAGGACTCTGCTTCGTCAGGACAGTAATCGTGTGAATCCGAGTTCTTTGCTTCAGCAGTCATCATCGATTCGTCAACAGGTACAGTGCTACAGCTAGTTACAGGTACAGGAGGAGCACTTCGAGTGCGTACACGGGCGGATTCGTCCATTTCCGGAAGGTTGTCATGTCCAGGTCCAGGAGACAGCTGCGCACGAGTTTTCAAGCCGGGAGAAGGAGGGACAGAACTCGAACGAGAGTAGTTCACACCAATAGATTGTAGATGCACAGACACATCAGCGACTGAAGTTACGGATGATGGATCCACGTTTGATTCAGCATGTAACTTTTCTGGCTCACCATTCTGATTCGCACTGGGTGCTTCCGCCACCGCAGTAGACGTACTAGATAAGGGACTTGCAGGTTTTGGAGCA